CTACCAAGTGAGCTCCAGGAAAGGCGCAAAGCTACGCAGAGAAACCCTGTCTTGAAAAACCAAAAAAAAAAAAAGAAAAAAGAAAAAAAAAAAAGAAACATGAACTTCTCTTATCCGTCATACTCAATGTCCCAGAGAACCATTCAATAACCTTACCCCATTACATGATGAATAAATCATGATATTAGATCTTGATTTGTGATAATCTTGGATGCGCATGCTAATTGTCAGGGTTCTGCTTTAGGATCGTGTCTACTGGATAGATGGAGAAAATGAAGCAGTGTATGGTGCCAATAAGTTCACTGGGTCAGAGCTGGCTACTCTAGTCAATAACCTCAACGATGCCCAAGACATCATTGTCTACCATGAACTCGTTCAGCCACCAGGTAACATGAGAAACCCACTCCTTAATGACCACGCTAAAGGAGTAGTGTGATCTAGCACCTACTACCTACTGGCTCCTTAGCTACTCAACCTCCTTTAAAATGTCTTCTTGCCCTCTTGAACTCTAGGCTAAATTCCACACCTGATGTCTGATATCTTATTCCAGCCATCTTGGAAAAATGACTTCTGAGTCAGCTCTTGGCTCTTTTCAACCCTTAGTGGCATAGTTTTCATCTCAATTCCTTCTAGATTGCCATTGCTAAGCCTACTGTATGAGCTTGCACAGTAGCCTTCAGGCCACAGATTCTCCTTATGATTTGTTTTCTAGGTTTGTTGTAACAAAGTACCACAAATCGGGTGCCTTAACAGAAATTTACTGTCTCACAATTCTGGAAACTGAAAATCCTAAGTCAAGGTGTTAGTAGATCGGTTCCTTTCAGGGACTTGAGGGAAGGTTCTATCCCAGACCTCTCTTTTTGGCTTGAAGATGGCTATTTCTCCCAGTGTGTAGTCACATTTTTTTTAATATATGCTGCTGCCCATATTTCATCTTCTGAGGATACTGAAAACTTGAGGTTAAGACCTACCCCAAAGACCTCATCTTAACATGATTACCTCTGTCAATACCCTATCTGCAAATAAGGTTGCATTCTAAGACATTGGCAGTTAGGACTTCAATGTGTGAATTTTATAGAGACACACAACTTAACCCGTAACACCTATTCTTCCCCATGGCACATCTTATACAGGATTTAACAAATCATCAAACGTATCTAGTCATGTTTTCTCCTGCCCAGCACACCGGCTTGCCTATCAAATGAGACCCTCACATCTCCCTGTGGCTGAGCTCCCTTTTACTTTGTAGGAGTTAATCAATATAATGCCAGGAAAATATGACTTGTCTCCTTCTTCTGACCCTTCACTCTAAGCTTTGAACAAACAATATGAGCCAGGCCTGGTCCCTCACCTCCCTCCACACCAACCCGTGGAAGACATAACTCTTACTCTACTTCCAAGAAACCTCTGACTCTGGTATCTTTAGAGCATGTTTCCAGTACATTGATTGATACCCATTCAACATCAGTGATGGACAGCCTGCAGGGATGTTAGTCTCACCTGAAAGATTGACAGAGTACACAAAGTTAAGCTCCATTGAGACTATAGATAGTTAACATTGCAATGCCTATTTTAAAGGACCTTTTTCTCCTGACTAGGTAAAAATTGGTGTGAAGAAGATATGGAGAATGGAGGATGTGAATACCTCTGCCTGCCAGCACCACAGATTAGTGACCACTCTCCGAAATATACCTGTTCCTGTCCCAATGGGTACAGTCTCGAGGAGAATGGACGAGCGTGTCAAAGTAAGGCTTTCTGCATCTCAGCAATAGGCAAGACACATAACAAGCACTGAAAGACACTGTCTATGACAACTTGCCTGGAGTCTAGAAATTCTGTTGTAGTTTTGAAATTGACTACAGAATATTAGGTGGTGATGTTGCACAACAGGCATTCGTATCAGTACGTTGGAGCTGACATGTGCCCCATTTCAACATCAGATGAGTTTATCAATGACCAAAGTGTCGATGTGTCACACACTGATTTGTACCCATCACTCTGTAACACCCCTGAGCTAGCCAATGTTCAGGTACTTCAAGTCCTCCACAAAAGGCAGAAATAAAAACACTGAAGACATTTGAGGAAGGAGGCCATGGTTGCAGGATACTTACAGACCTCAGTAGATTGACATAAATTGAAGCTCTCAGGTAGTCAGAACTTGAATTTTAATGTTTTGTTCTCAGCTTTTGATTAAGCAGTGGGCTGAACTTGCTTATTGTAAGTGAGGTGCTCACACAGTGATGTCTTAATTAGCATCATTCTACATCAGGATTTCCTGAGAAAATAGGTGCAGGACCACTTGATGTGCATAGCACACCAGAGCATTTTTAGAACATCTGTGGTCCTTCAGGAACCTGGGGTTTTGTTGAGAGGGAATCTGTGTGGCTGTGAATCTTTCTGCATTGTCAAATTCCACATGCTGACTGCCCTGCCCAAAGTTTTGTGTTTCTGGTTTTTGCTTGAAGCTGGCTAGTTCTCTCCATTCAGATACATCCATTTTACAACTTAGTTCTACAATGGGTTGTCACTTTTCCTGGAGTTGAAATGACCCTCCAACATGATTTCTCTGGACTATGCAGCCAGCCACACAGGAACCTTAGCCTTAACCAGGTTCTTGGTTTTTATAATCCAGGTACTTCAACTCCTGTGACTTACAGTGAGACAAAAGATATCAACACAACAGATATTCTACGTACTAGTGGACTGGTTCCTGGAGGTATTGGGTCCAGTACTGCAAACTGTTAATCTCAACTAACTGCCGCTTAAATAATTAATGCAGCCTTTAACTACTGGTTCTGCCCCAACTGGCTACTTGTGTCTGAAGTCCAAAGATTTCAGAACCTGTGTATCCTGGATTTCTCTGACTTATTTAAAACTGTTGGTGAAATGGCCATGTAACTCAAATAATTCTAATCCCAAGTTTTTCTGGTATGGAATTATAGTGGATACTAGAGATTAATATTAGGTACAAAGGTTTGAGGACATCTACCTGATGGGTAGATTTCTAAGTCTTAATTCAAATCATGATAGATGGATTCCTTGTATGTCCTTGTAGGGATCAATGTGACCACAGCAGTATCAGAGGTCAGTGTTCCCCCAAAAGGAACTTCAGCTGCCTGGGCCATCCTTCCTCTCTGTAAGTACATTCGCTTCTCATATAGACAGTTCTAGTTCATCAAAAGCCACCTTTCTGTGGTCTCTTATGCTATCATAACACATGAGACACTGAATTGCATTCACTCCCTCAACTGTCTGGTACCTACTCTTCAGTAGTGTGTTTCACATGACAGTGGACACCAGTGAACATTCACCAATTCCCTAAAAGGTCTTACTGCTTTCTGGGTTGAGCTTGTTAGCCTTGCTTATCTCTACATAGAGGAAGCTAGTTTAGCAAGAATTTTGTTCTAGTGCCATTTGTTGTATATAATGACCACAAAGAGGTCAACAAAGGTTCAAATGCTTTTTTGACAGAATTGTAAAATTCATAAAGAGTAAATTTTTGTGGGGGAAGGTTTTTTTTTTCCTTTTCGGCAAGAAGTTTCTTTGTATAGCCCTGGAACTAGCTCTATAGACCAGGTCTCGAACTCACAGAGACCCACCTGCCTCTGCCTCTGAATGTTGGGATTAAAGGTGTGCACCACCACTGCCTGGCCATAAAGGATAAATTTAAAGTAATTAAAGTTTTTTAAACTCAGGGGGAGGGGTCGTCTAAAGCTGCTTTCAGTCATGTGAAGTCTAAAGCACTTTGATTTAATGGCTCCTTTGACCTAGCTTACTGGTTTCTCTAATACACCAGGACCACTCGATTGGCACTCCAAAGGCTTCTGTGATTTTCATGAAGGTGGCCAGGGTTGTGACTCAGGACTCTGTACTTCACCCAGTGTGTAAAACCCCAGTATAAATATTCACACAACCACTGGGCTGAACTTACTTCAAAATTTTGTGTCATCTGTATTCCACCTTCCCTAAAATGTGGAACTTTCATTAACGTCAATTACCATAAATCCATGCCTATTAAACTTCACTGCTGATGTTTTTCAGTGCTCTTGGTAATGGCAGCAGTAGGTGGCTACTTGATGTGGCGGAACTGGCAACATAAAAACATGAAAAGCATGAACTTCGACAATCCTGTGTACTTAAAGACAACTGAAGAGGACCTCTCAATAGACATTGGTAGACACAGTGCTTCTGTGGGACACACATACCCAGCAGTAAGTCTTCTTTGTCTGTATTTACTGTGGCTTGGCATGAGTCTCTTCAAAGGAGACCAGAACCTCTAGCTATGGGTCCCTGGGCTGGGAAGGATCATGGAGTCCTGGACACTTTATCCACTGGCTGCATGTTAGATGCTAAATGTCTGGCCCAATAAAATAGTCAGCTGATCAGCATCTCACCCACAGAGGAAGGCAGGTAAGTCCTATTCCTCATTATTTTAGATTATAAAAATGACATGTAAATCGCAGTATGAACCAACTGGCTTGTTTTTAAACTTCAGTTCCTGCATCCTGGATAGCTAAAGGTAAATCAGGGTGGCCCTATGAGGAGCGTGTATAGAGGAGTTGGCTGAAAGTCAATAGCTTGAGTAAGATTCAATTAGCCTAAAGGACTAAATGCTTTCCTTCAAGAGGTGCTCCATCCCACCCAGGAGAGCCAGCTTTCCGCAGGAGCAGCAGCTGCAATCATTTGTTCCTCCCCTCAAGACCCAAGTACACATTCAGCCTCCACTTTAGGACCATGCTGAGTGAAACATGCTGAACAGGGGCACTGCCCTTGCCCATTCTCCAGGGGAACATGGAATAGTGTTCAGTCCATGTTAGGTGTCTTTCACATTTGTTTCCAAGATTTACACTTCTTAGAATCAGGCACACTGTTTTTGTTTGATTTTTTACTTCTAGCAAGCAGGTGTAGGTTAACTATCCCTTATTTGAAATACTTGGTGGTAGAAGTGTTCAGGGTTGGGGATTTTTTTTTTTTAAGGGAGTATGGATTTTGGAGTTTTTGCATACACAGAAAGTCTGAACAAAAAAAAAAAAAACCCCATTTGGTTCACGTATTCTTATACACATAGTCTAAGATATTTTACACAACATTTTAATGTGTGTTCATTTTGATCACAACCAATAACATAAGGTGAGGTGTGGAATTTTCTATTTATACTGTCATAGTGGCACTCAGAAAATTTCAGATTTCGGAGCTCTTTTGGGTTTCAGATTTTCAGGTTGGGAACAAATACAATTCATGTATCTGGCCTTCAATTCTTTGCATCTGTGAATGGCCAACCCAAGTCCACTTCATAGAGCTGATAACAGGGATTAACCACCAAGCTCACCTGAACCTTTTTCTTCTCTGCAGATATCAGTTGTAAGCACAGATGATGATCTGGCTTGACCTCTGAATAAGTCTTGACCTCTGAGGTCTAAGCCAACAACACTCCACTCCAGAATGGTAACCGAACCAGCGCTGAAGTCGCCTTTCTTCCTCCCATCTGGAAGAACATCAAGATATCTTTCCATGGATCAAGTTTGTGTACTTGACCATTTTTATATTACTTTTGTAAATATTCTTGGTCACATTCTACTTCAGCTTTGGATGTGGTTACCAAGTATCTGTAACCCTTGGATCTCTAGACAGTATTGCCATCTCTGGCCAAATATGCACTTTCCCTAGAAAGCCATAGTCCAGCAATGAACCTTGTGCTATAGTGAATCCCACCTGTACATACATTGTATAGGCCACCTGTACATATCCCAGAGAACAATCACTATTCTTAAGCACTTTGAAGATATTTCTATGTAAATTATTGTAAACTTTTTCAATGGTTGGGACAATGGCAATAGGATAAAACGGGTTACTAAGATGAAATTGCCAAAAAAAAAATTTGTAAACTAATTTTGTACGTATGAATGAAATCTTTGACCTCTGTGGAGGTTTGCAAAGACTGACTTCAAACTACTGTACATTTTTTTTCAAGTGCTAAAAAATTAAACCACACAGCTTAACCATGTTTTGATTATTCCTCTAAAATGAACACTGGGAACAGCCTGTGTATCACCAAATGTTCTAGACATTTGAGCTATAGCTCTTGGTGTTGTATACCTAGCCTATAATTGGACTAGCATCTTTTACAACCAAGTGCTAACTAAAGAAATAGCTACCATTTAATATTTGTTCCCCTGAATTTATCAACCTTCCTTCCTTCCTTCCTTCCTTCCTTCCTTCCTTCCTTCCTTCCTTCCTTCCTTCCTTCCTTCTTTCTTTCTTTGCTGGCCTCAGGCTTGCCGTGTTCCTGCCTCAGCTTCCTAACTTCAAGGATTACATGTCTCATGTCTGTACCACTACACCCAGCTGACGTATTTCTTATTTTATAAAAGACACTGTCTTCCCAGAATTCCTTTTGCTTGCAGAAGATTCCCATTCCTTCTCTTTTTTTCACAATGATCTAGAATCCATGCTAAGATTTCCACAAGTTCTCATGCTTTGTTGTTCATGTTCTGTCATGAATTGTAGGTCAAAGATAAGTGCCTTCCACGGCATAGGGAAGGGTTTACTCTAACAAGAGCCTGACTTGTCTTACCGTGAAGATGAGTAGGAAGGATACTAGGCAGCATTGTTGTTAAACAGCCTAAGTTGTGGTTCTCAGCATGCACCCAGGAACAGCAGTATCACTGCTAGGAACTTAACAGAAATGAAAATTCTTGGGCCTCACCCCAAACCTACTTAATCAGAAACCCCAGTAATGGGGACCAGGAAACTCTTCATATAGTTCTGATATAACCTAAAGTTTGATAAAAACTATTCTTATATGGCTTCATGGAGATTATAATTGTAATGTGTTCAACACATTGCCAGTCTATAGCATCAGACATGTAGACATGTTCTTTCTATGGAGAATTTGTGGACCTTTGTGTGGAGAACAGCTGGGGAGTTGGAGGTGGAAAAGGGGTATTGTATCAGGGGAGAGTTTTCCATCACATTGGCCATCACGTCCTTACTCTGGCATCTCAAGACATCTAAAAGTGGAGAAAGATGGCTTAAAGCACAGACGAGATCCTCCAGTAACTCCACTGTGAGGTGGGCACAGTAGAAAGGGCACTGGTTCCTTGGGGATGAGATGGCTGAGCTAGCATCTAAAACAGACAAGGTCATCTCATTTTTAAGAACCTTGTCTCCTCTGCAGAAACCTAGCATTAGCTAGAACTAACTGTATTTTAAAAGGCACAAAGTCATTTTAAAAAATGAAGTGCTTAAATATTGATAGAGCGTTGATGAGTATTGCTAGAGAGGTTAGTTACCTGATGAGACTGCTAAGTGATTCAGTGGACAACAGTTCACAAGGGATGAGAACCCTGAACTTTATCACCCATACAAGAGCTTGAGGACTGTATGTGAGATGGGTTGACGTAAATTGGCTGTATCTCTAGAGTTTAATGTAGTGGATAACTGATTAAGAGGTAAACCATGAAACATCAAATTCTTAGAAAGGATATTTATAATTAAACCTGTCACATGAGGCCACAGTGAGTGGAACCTCAAGGCACTTGAGGAATACCTGCAAAGGACAGACAAATCAACAGATTTGTGGATCCTGGTAAAGAAATTCAGCCAAGTCTAGGAGTCCAAAATTTTAAGTGTTTGTTGCAAGCTACATGCTCCTTGGCAAGAAGCAGGCCCAGTAGATCACTGGTTCCCTTAGAATATTCTAACAGCTACTTCAAAGATTTGGCATCATTTCTGAGCCTTTGGATCTGGATAAATAGAGGGCAAAAATAATTCTTTGAGGCTTCAACTTGGGCACTTGCCTTGACTCCCTTTATTATTAGAAGGCAGACATCCCCTCTCAAAAATGAGCAGGCAGGTTTTAAATGGCACAGTTGCTGACCAGTTAAAGGAGTGCCGTTTCAGTTGGAAACATTGCAGAAATCTGAGACCCACCTAATGTCTAGCTTTTAACTTCACCCCCATCCAAAGATGCTGGTGGACTTCCCATGTATCGTGTAGTTAAACAAAATTGATTTCCTAGCATTCTTACCTAGTAAAATCTTGCCTACTGGAACAGTATGTTCCCTTAAATCCAAATAAATGGTCACACTTCTTTCTTTTACTTCTGGCAAAATAAATAAATAAATAAAGCAACCACAGACCCTTTTGCTTACTTAGGTTCAAGAACAAAACAAAATGCTACTCCTGATCCAGAACTTTGAGCCCTTCATTTCTGAAGCCAATGTTTTGCCCTCTTTGGAAAGACTGAGAATTTCGTCCCTATTGTAGCCATAGTCTAGACCCTAACACTGGGCTAATTCTAGAAATGTAAAAAAGTCCAAGAAGGTGTCTTGTTTTCAAGGAGAAAGAGGAAGATGAGACAGTCATGGTTCAGGTTTTGTTGTTTGTTTGTTTTTCTCACATCCAGCACAGAGGTTTCCAGCTCACAAGAACTTCATGGAAAGGACAATATCCACCATTTTTGTATGAATCTCATTCTCACCTACCTTCACCAATGAAAAGCTGAATGTTAGTTAATAGAGAGTCCGAAATTGAGGTTTGCGATCACATGTCCCATCTCTTTACAGCATCACTTCAATCTGTTTAGTGTTTCTGAACCTGGTTCTTCCAAGAAACAGGAATGAAGTGGGACCACAGACCCAGAGTCCATTTAAGTCCTCCTGTATGTGTCTGTGTGGACCCTGAGACAAGTGTGAGACAGGGAGTATGTGGGCGGGGTGGGCTCAGCAGGAACTCGGGGATATCTCAAGAATGGCTGCTTCTTGGCTGTGCTTGGTGGCCGAGTTAGATGGGCGGCTTGGTGGGTGTGTTTAGAGGTCTACACATTATGTCAATAGCATGTATTTCTCTGTCCTGGGTGTGCTAGCTCGGTCAAGTCACCAAGCATCTCTGTGGTATGGAGATGATAGGGATACACTGGGACAATGGGATGGAGGAGTCCAAGAGCTCAGCCCAGTGCCTGGCATTTGGTGTGTATGGGCAAACGTACTGACTATCACTGTCAGTATGTGTTCTCACACAGCCTGAGAACTGGTAAGTGACTACCAGTGAGCACGGCAGGCAGATTCACTCATTGAGTAACAAGAGCCTTTCCTCGCCCTGAATGGTTGTTCCCCATCACACTGAAGTCTGAAGTTCAGGATTTTTACCTCATACAGGTGAAAGGCCTTAAAGGATGATATGGTTTAAACCTTAGAATCACAGCTGGTATGTGTCTACCTCCAGCTTTGACTGCTTCTCCTAGGATGTGGAAACACATATTGGCACCTGCAGAGTCTTTAAATGGCTAAATGTTTGTAATGACCTTTCAGTTCTTACCATATGCTTAATGTCATGTTATATAAAGTCTTCTCCCATCATATCAGATCCTCACAGTAACCCTAATAGGAAAGCATCTTCATTCTGCATATGTGAAAGCTAAGGACATGAACCATGTAAGATCCCAAACTAAGTACGCTGCCATTGTCTCGGGAGAGGGTGCTGTCCTGTGCAAATGTTAAGGTGGATATCACATTGTATGTTTGCTGAGTCTCCTTTTCTACAGATGGTAGAGCACATCTGCAGTTTCTCAGTTGTTTTAGATTCCCCATCCAGCAAGATGGTGCCCAGAACTAGAAAGCTGGCATGGTACCATGAACATGGTACCAGAACAGCATGGTAGCACTCGGTTAAGTCTAGTATCTTGGCAGCCATCAAGGGATAGCTTTAAAGCAAAGGTTCCCTGCAGGAACTTAGAGACATCACATCAGTCCCTAGCAGAGCATGTTAGAAGAAGGCATGCTACCACACAGTAATTTTCAGTTTCCAAGGTAGCCAAGTGGACAATTCGCCAGAGGAGACAGGAAGGAACGTGGTTTGTTCACAGAGTGATGGTGCTGTGACTTCAAAACTGATCTCAACTGTTCTAGAATCTGCCCTAACACCTGGCTGTTTCTCAATTGACATGTACACTTGGAAAGAAAGGAATGTTTTGAACAAAATTACTTTCACAAAACTGTCTCGCCTCTTTTAAACATCACACTTGATACTAAGAATATGATTTAAGAGCATGTGATGCCTCAGAAGGCCCATGAACACACCCTGACCATTGCCTTAGGGTCGTCACTGTTGTAAGGGCACACGTTGGAACACATTCAGTCCTTCTGACCTGTAGATAACTATTTTTCTCTAAATGAACTGTACATTTATCTTAAATAAAAATTTATTTTTGAGATAACCGTTGCAAGTCTATTTTCTTCTAGAGACCTTTTGGGAAAACATTTGCTCAAATCTTCCTTCTTTGCTCAGCTGAGTAAGTAAGGGTGGCTCAGTCGCCCTTTATAGAAAACACTACGAATCATCCAGACCTGAACTGGTCAGGTTAAGATGACTCCTCTCTTGCCACACTGAGAAGGCCTCCCTACAAGAGACAGTGTGTTAGTTACCTCCTCACACCCCCAATCTCTGTCCCTCCTTCTGTGAATGAAACAAAGCCAAAGCCGTTTTCCAGGAGACTGCTGGACCAGTTCTTCCTCCCCAGAATGGCTAGATCAGGCTGCACTTGGCTCCTGAAGGGATGATGCTCCAGGATGGCAGCTCAAACAGGCACAGACAAACAGGGAAAGCCATTCCTCCATTTTCTGCCTCATCGGCTCTTCCAAGGTCCGTTGAAAGAGATTCATGATCAGGATAAATCGTCATGTACCTTAGAATTATTTCACATGAACCTTTTCTACCAAATAGGTCTCCAGAGTTTGAATTATATTGGCTGCAAAATCTTGAAATTGACTCTGGGAGGAGATAAGTAAATTGGAAGATAGAAAAATTCAAAAAAGGAAGACAGGAAAAGGGGAAGAAAGGGATGGAGGGAGAGCAGCAGGAAGAGGGGAGGGAAGGAATCTTGGAAAAGTTGGAGGTCACTCACTCTAGTGAGTCCTTAATGAATGGAAAGAGGCACAACAGGTGGGACTGGCCACCCAGCACTTGACTCTGTGGTCACAGACCTGCCTGCCATCTACACTCTTCCGACAACTGCCACGCCCACCTTCATAGGTGTCTCAGAAAGAAAGAGGCAGCACGTACCGACTAGATCCTTCAGACGACAGCTACTGTCCTTCTTGCACCATCCCTACATCGCCCCTATGATTCTTGTTCCACAGAGATTTTATTAAATTTTATTTTATGTGCATTGGTGTAAGGGTATCAGATCTCCTGGAACTGGAGTTACAGATAGTTGTGAGCGGCCATGTGGGTGCTGGGAATTGAACTTGGATCCTTTGGAAGAGCAGCCGGTGCTCTTAACTGCTGAGTAACCTCTTCAGCCTGTCACTATTATTTTTTTAGTAAAGTTCAAATCTTTTACTCGTGTTCACTTAGGGATCTGGTTTCTCATCTACCCTTTTTGTATCACTCTCCCATGTACGAGTGTTCCTTCTTAATCCTCTCCTTGAAACACTGGCATTGGTGACCTTTTCTGCATTCCTAAAACACAAGAAGATTAATTGTCCTGTACTTATTGGCTTTGCAGAAAGCCTCACATGTGACTTTCTGATGATTAAAGAATGCAAGTGGTTGTCTGGGGTTCACCAGTTACACAATGAGGTCCTTTTAATCAGGGGTGGGGGGTGGCAGGTTCCACATCCCACCACTCAGTAAGGCGAGGCCAACACACCCTCCAGATTGATTGTGCTCAGTAGACAGGGCTGGCCTAGAATCTAAGAAATAGATCAGGTCTGAATAAGTAGCTAAGGGTGGAATGTTTAATTTTGGGGCAGAATTGTTTCAAGCCTTTAGTCATTATATGTGTTTTCTTTCATTAAAAAGATGATGATTTTTAATTATATGTAGGGGTGTGTGTGTGTGTGTGTGTGTGTGTGTGTGTGTGTGTGTGTGTGTGTGTCTTGTGCAGGTACATCCAGGTGAGTACAGGTGCCCATCAAAGCCAGTGATGTTGGAGTCCACTGGAGCTGGAGTTACAGGCAGTTGGAAGCCACCCAACATGGGTCATGGGAACCAAACTCAGGTCCTCCACAATAGCAGCTTAATGGCTATTAAAGAATTTAAGAGCTATTAAATAAAAAAATAGTATTGTTTTCATCCATTCATATGTGACATTTTCTGAGGATTAGTTCCTTAATATTGAAAGGAAATCTACCTCTTAGCCTAGTCCCAAATGAATAGGACTATGGTTTTTTGAGAGACATTTTCTCAGTGGAGGACAGTGTAAGGTAGACAGCATAGTGTTGTTCCCTTTGGCCTTGGAGAAACAGTGGAAACAGTCTCTTAGAAGTTCTAGGACAGCTTCAAGATGGGCAGATTCTAGATGGAACATCAATTAGGGCAAAATGCAAAGCTCTTTTAATGAAATTAAGCTGGGATGTATGGACCTACCCTTCATGAGTTACTCCTTCTCACGTACACACACACACACACACACACACACACACACACACACACACATCACATCACATCATATCACATCACAAGTGTTATCCTTATTTTGTTTCTTTAGTATGCCCTATGGGCCAGGCACTGTTCTTGGTGCTGGAAAGCCAGTAAGACCATGACAGATAAAGCCACACCCTTCAAGATGCTCATTCTAGCTGGGAGCCGGGAACTGAACAGACATTAAGCCAGGTGGAGACAAGAGCTATAAGGGAAAAGAAAACAGACCATGGAATACAGAATGACAGTTATAGTTTAGATAACATGTCAAGGACACCCTCCGGGAAGGTGACTGGAGCAGAAAACCCAAATGAAGTAAGGGGCAAGCCCATCATCAGGGGAGGAGCAAGGTTCTGAATGAAAAGCAAGCATGACTCATCATAGACAAAGCAAGGTGGCTTTGTCGCTACAGGTGGCAAAGCAGAGTGGGATAAAGGAAGGCAGCAAGGACCAAACGTGGCCAACTTCAAGAATCATGGTTAGAACACAGGAATGTCTAAGTGATAGGATGACATTAGAGGAGGATGAGATAAAGGTTTGCACGGGATGCTTTGCTTGGAGTAGATTGCAGAGACGCAAACACAAAATCAGGGTGTAAGCTAGAGGATTATGACAGTAGTTCTGGAAGATGTCCATGGCTTGGGTGGGCCTGGCAGAAAGCTACACTTCACATTCATTACCTGAGGAAGGTATGTATACAGGATGCCTCCCTGAGTGGATAACAGGGTGTGACACATATCCCTTCATCCAGGCTCCTGTCTTAGCTGTGTTCTCTGCCTGAAGATACCGACGAGATGGCCCCTGACTGACAAAGGATGATAGGCACAAGCCACATAGATGGAAAAACCTAACACTGCTGTGTGCAATCTGAAAAGAAAGTTAATGGTGCTGATTGTGGTGGTATTGTGTTCCCCAAAATATTGTGCACCCTAATAAACTTATCTGGGGTCAGAGACAGAACAGCCACTAGACACAAAGGCTAGAAAATGGTAGCACTCACATCTTTAATCCTAACATTCCAGAGGTAGAAATCCCTCTGAGTCTCTGTAAGTTCAAGGCCACATTGGAAACAGCCAGGCATGGTGACACATGCCTTTAATCCCAAGAAGTGAGCCTTTAATCCCAGGGAATGATGGCAGATAGCAGAAAGGTATATAAGGTGTGAAGACCAGGAACTAAAAGCATTTGGCTGGTTAAGCTTTTAGGTTTTGAGCAGCACAGTTCAGCTGAGAGCCATTCGGATATGAGGACACAGAGGCTTCCAGTCTGAGGAAACAAGATCAGGTGAGAAGTTGGCCAGGTGAGGTTAGCTGTGGCTTGTTCTGTCTCTCTGATCTTCCAGTGTTCACTCCAATACCTGGCTCAGGTTTGATTTTATTAATAAGAACTTTTAAGATTCATGCCACAGCTGATCCCAAGCCAAAGGAAGTTAGAATCTAGAAGACTCTAGTAGCACCTAGAGCACTGGAGCTTCAACATGTCAGTTCTTTTCTATCTTGCAGTTGAAGTCCTTCTAGGGACACATTTGGATGGGGTCTCGAACACCTGCCTCTGGAGGCATGCTTTCTATGGGTGCTATTTTCTCTTTTATAACGCAGCAGCTTTAGACAGTGTTTTCTGCCCACCCAGCTGCTTCTTGTGTCTCTGCTAGCTGTTGGGCTCTTAAGAACTTCAGAGAGCCATCCAAACTGCTTTCTCAGAGAGCCATCCAAACTGCTTTCTCAGAGAGCATCCAAAATGCTGGGATCCTGGCATTTCTGAGTTAAGGGAGATTCTAAGGCATATCCTGAGCCTGCTATTCAATGGAGGAAGACGTGACAGCCCTGGTGGAGCAAAGAACCCATTCATAAGACTGGCCTCAAGGTGCCCACAGTGTAACAACAATTCTTATCATAAGCCACAAATTCCCTGACAGCTCATGCCCTTCTGATTTAAAAAAAAAAAAAAGAGGAAAGAAAAAAAAAAGGGGATAATTGTCTAGGAAAATAAGGTCTCCCTAGGATCAAAATTTTGAAGGATTTTATTTAAATGTGCTAAGACATGAACTGAGTTTCCAAATTGCCACCTGCCTGCCACAGAGTAGGATCCAAATGTTACCAAATAGCATATGAAAACAGAAAGCCACTTCCCACACATCAGGCCCAGTACCCGTTTCTGCTCAGAGAAGCAAGCCTGCCTCATGATATCTGCGGATCTGGTAACCTCCAGGAAGGACAGCGCTGAGAATAGAGACTACGTGCCGTTCGCCTCGCAGCCCTTCCCAGCTGCAGACACAACGTTCCCAACACTCTATGAACTGTCTCCATTAGGAAACAGATAAAGGTTTCAATGGACCTAATTAATAGCATCAATTCACCAGAAGTGGCGGACTAGTTTGCCTGCAATCTCAGGCTCTCAGAAACCCAGTGAAATTGAGGTGGAACGGGATCTGCTTTTGCCTTGGCAGAAGGCCTGGGAACATAATGTCCCTGGAAAAGGCGATTTCTATATTGCTGTAGGAATGGGAAATCTTTATATTTACTGGAGAAGGGCTCTGAGCCGAGACTGGGGAGTGGGCTTATCCACAGATCCAGATTCTATAAAGAATCAAATAAGGCAGGAAAGAGAGTGGAGCCAAAGTTTAGGGAGTGGAACTTTGCACCCTAAGTAAACAGATAATGGCAATGTGAAATACACAATTACTGTGTGTGTGTGTGTGTGTGTGTGTGTGTGTGTGTGTGTGTGTGTGTGTGTGTGAAATGAATCCTTCCACCTCCATGGTCCTACAGTGAAATTTATTTACTTGAATGGCTT